ATCTGAAACGTCAGAGCAAGGCAAGAACGGAATGAATGTTTACAACCGTTTGAATGTCGATCTTCCTTGCAGCTTCGTGATGGAGCCATTCTGGAACCATTCTATTTATGAAGTTAATGTGCAGTGCTGATCTCTGCTTTCATGCTATCAGCCAAACGTGCGATATTTAGAAAGACAGAATCTACAGCTGCTTGGCAAGCTTTTTGTGTAGCATCCTGTTTCCACCACACAGAGTTGTACTCATGCATCAATCTTGGATGGAAGAAGGGCGAACGATACAACTGGCCTCGAATTCGGGCCACTTTGTTGCTGAATTCGATGCTCCAATGAATGACCAATCCGGTCTTGAGCAGCGTGTGGTAAATTCTTTGCTCAAGACATTTTGCAGCTGTTTTAGAGATTGCTCATCAGTCGCAATTTAGCCCTGCACTTCTAGAGTTTAAAGCGGACAAATCGACTTCTTAGTCACTGTGTCATTATGCCCCAAATCTCAGAGAATGCATATAGTTAACTTGACATTCAGCGTGATCTAAAAAATTTTTTTTAATTTTGAATGACTTTCCTACACCAAAGATTCGACCAATGCTTATACACACAAATATAGCTATATAATTCTCTTAAAGTGCCATCTTTCACCACCTTCAGATATTTTATTTAATGTCTTAATTTGATTTAATTCGATGTTTTCGTATGCGTTCCACATTTGTCGTCCTGCTTTTCAACAGCAGCCCTCTTTTTGCCATCTGCCAGCCACTTTTACTTCTTCCGCGTTCATAAAATATCGCGCGGCTGTCAAAAGCAAAAGCAGTTATTAGTGAAGATGAATGATTTTGAATCTTCTGACCGCTAACCGTCACTGTTTCAAAGTTTGTGCGAGTGCCTCAGCGAGATGGCGGTATACTACCGAGGAACCGAAGTTTAACGGTGTCCTGCTTCCATTTAATAATGATTTTGCCGCAAGGCAAGCATGCCAGTGCTAGCGCGAGTGATGTAAACTTTCGAACAAATTAAATTTAAAATTCTGGACAACTTTTACAAAGTCGTTCAGTGACCCACTTAATGAATCTGGTTGTTGGCGAAAGGGTCTTAAAAGAAGGACCGAGTTATGGAGTCCTATAGGCCGACTGCAATGGCGATGTCTGCACTGTTCGTCGTGGCACTTTTGACTCTAGAATCTTTGTCCGTCCGTCGGGTGAATGGCATGCATTCGAACAACGAAGTGCAGGAGATAACCCCAGCCGGGACGACCCTGCGAATCAGCTCCGATGGATTCAACGCGATGGCGAAGCCCCTTGAGACGGTATTCACGAACTTAATAATGAAACTGCTCTTGTCAGGGTTAGCACCTGCCTTCACCTCCTCCAAGCAAGGGGTGAGTGTTAAAGAATTAAACATAAATTCGTATGAACATATCAAGCCGATGACAGTCACTCTTATGGACGACCCATCTTACAACGTGATCATTAGCGAAACTAACGCAAAGGTCGAAATATATGCCGTTGTGTCGTCCCGCCTGAAAAATTCGAACTGCGATATTCCGGTAGTGATTTCGATCGACGGCTTGACGATGGCTACTTACATTCAGGTGGCGAAGGGCAGCAGATCCTCGCAGCTGCTGAATCTGTCAGTGGGCAGATGTCAGTCGAAATCGAATGTGATCAGCGTAGCAACCCTGGACGAACCTGAGATCAGCCAAAGGTCGAAACAAATCGTCGTCGGCATGATCGAGGACTTCATCAAGAATACCCTTTGCAAAGCTTTGGTCGAGGACGTTCAAGTTGCATTGCAGGATCTCTCTGCAAATCTGCCAGCAAGCATCCGCCTTTCTGATGAAACTATTCCAATGTTCACAGTCGAAAGTCCTGTCGTGGAGAAGAGAAAAGAGGGTATGTTTTTGAAGGTCGAACTGGGATTTTCAATACCTGTCTGTAGTCATCATTACAGTTCTATGTTGACGCATCCTTTGAACAGCAAGGTGGTCAGTGTCGCTGTGTCTGAATGCACCGTAAACGCTTTTCTGCAATATCTCTTCTTTCAGGGGTTACTAACAACAGAACTTGACGAGGGTAGCTACCGTAAGTCAGATGAAAGTCTCCTTTCTCCAGAAGAACTCAATGCGTGCCTCAATAATCGTTCACAGATGAACGACGTTCCGAACTATGACCAAAGCAAGCTCGCGTATGCCCTCACAAAATCGCCTACCGTCACTGTTGAAACCGGAGAAGTAGGACTCAACGCCGAAAGTGTCATTTCTTACCAGCCAAAATCGCGCAGTTGCTTAGCCAAACACCTATCGTCTGACATCATCGTCAATTTCGTCAAAAATCACGAAACTCTCCAAGCAACGGTCGATCCTGTGTTCGTCAATTTTTCTGGTCGCAGCTTCAGACAAAAGAACTCCAACCTCATCGGAAATGTGATCAAGGCAGTGATATTAAAGGCCATCAACAAATTCCTGGCATTCAACGCTCCTGCAGAAGAACTAAGTTTCTTCCGTATAAAAGATTATGGCATGAAGCTTCTGTCCGAATGGTTCGTTCTCTACGGTGATATCGAACTGCTGCCTGAGAAGCTGTTGAAGATCGTTGAATCGAAGAATGAGATTAATGGCCAAAGTTTCGACAGATGATTGCTGTTTATTAATGTAATGCCTTTGGCATACTTTTCTGCTTTGTAAACAAATAAACTGTTTAATGACAGTTGTATTACAGTGTTGAAACAATAAACATGATCAACATTCAATTTTCGACACAAGTACTTGAAAGAAACTTCGCCATGGCCGGTCCCAAGCCCGGATGAGAAAGGAGGAGGGTTGGACACTGTGGCAAGTCTCCGTAAAATTCAGCCACCTGCC